TTGAAATTAGTCTTGGACGGCTAATATTTCAAAAAACATTCTTTAAATGTGGTCCCTTTTATTAATCTGACCCTCGGATTAGACCCTCAACCCAAAATTGTGGCATCAGCAGTGTTGTGCCCTCCTCGTGTACCCTGGGGGTTAGCCGAGGAGTCTTGGGGTCGGGGATTCGGGACTAGATGGGTGTACCAGAGTTCGCTGTATGACCAAAAGACTGTATGTTTTGATAGGGGTTCCTTGATATCATCATCCTCCCAAAATCACGTTTATGATTCTGAACTCCCCCCTTCAAGGGCGCTCAAAACATCAAGACGCCAGTCATCCCATATTCGCCTAACTGTTACATCACCATGTAGTTTTCAAAGAACCATACCTCGGAGTTGGTCAAGAATCCAAGCGAGATTCCCATGAACCCTGCATAGCTACCAACAATGTCTGGGGTCCCCAACAACCTTCAATTTCGAGCAAACCTCAGATGCTCTCAACCCTGCATTGCACCTGCAGCCCAGGATTTCTTGCGAACCACGCAGGCACCAGGGGTTCTTGGCAACGGGGGCGTCCCCGGGCCAGCTGCTAGGCTGAAAGCGCAGCATTGGAGGCGGTGGTGGGTGACGGCGCTCGTAGCAAAAAAGGAACAGGAGCAGGAGACTGGAGTACTCGTAGGAAGAGATATGTGGAGGATGAGTAAATGTAGCAGCTGCAGCAGTAGTAGCAGTCCAAGTAGTCGTGCTAATTGTAACAGCAGTAGTGATGGGAGTGCCAGTAGCTGCTTGTCCGATGCTGCAACTACCATACTTCCTAGCGTTTTGATCCCAGACTATGTAGAAGGCTTGCATCATCTTCTGAAAGAAGCCGGCATCTGTTTTGCAACAAAGCCTCATACTCCGATATTCGGCCCAAGATTACATATATCTATCTATACAGAGATATTTGTATATATATATATATTTGCATGTGTATGTATACATCCGCTATGTAATCTCTCTTAAGCATGTGTCGCCCGACCTAGGCCAGGGATGAGATGGACTCCTTGGTGCACAGGGGCCGCCAGTCTGTTCAGTACTTGTAGCTTGTATCCTTGCTACTTACTTTAATTCCTTTAGAGTCCGGTGCCATTAAATCCCAAGTGCAACTTGTAGCAGCTGCTCCTGCTACTGGATTGGACAACGACTTACACCGATGGAGATGTCTAAGGATAGGACTTCTGTTTCTATCACACAGAGACAGACAGGCTACGTGTACTTGCACGCAAGATCAGTTGTAATTCAGAGGGCATCTATGCGTGGATGGGATCACTAAATAAAAGATCCCCTAAAAGGATCTGAGGATGCCTTACGAAAAGGAGTGTGAGTGAGACAAGATTTCGTCCGTTTCTGCTGGGCATTCGAGGCCAAAGATTCCTGATACAAGCCTACCGCCACATGAAGGCGGGGAAGAAACCGTGGGTGTCCACAAGAACCCTCCTGTCTTGGAGATACGTTAAATGAGATCTCACTTTTGTCTGGCATGTGCATGTCTCCAATTTGCTTTACTGCAGATCTCTGAGATTTCATCATCAACCCTAAGCCCTAAACCGGGGCTTTGCATGATTTTTTGGTCAGGCCTCATCGCCTCCCCATCTCACTTCCTTCTTCGGGCTCTTCGCGGTCCTGGGCAAGACGCCGGTGCCTGTTGCCGTATTGTAGAAGCACCAAGAGATTGCAGTATGACGTCTTCATTAGCCTGATATTGCTACATTATGACATCCCGAGTCAAGGGCAACACTTGTTTCGCATAACCCTTGCAGAGCTGTAGTGTAATAAGCCTCAAAACCATTCTGATTGTTCAGGCCCTACATTAAAGTGCAATCGTGCAGGACACCACTCTGGCTCTTGCACGTTAAGCTAGCCACAGTTCTGCTCCGATTGCTACATGTTCGCGAGAGCTGCATTGCCACTATTCATAGCTTGCCTGCGCAGTACACGTCATTAGGTGATTTAGATACCCAAACTAGATCATTGTTCTAAAAGGCATTGTACTTTACTGAAAAAGCCATGTACCACGGTTATGTGTAATACTACTCAACACGGGACAGGGCAAGATCTCAAACCTTTAGCCCTTGCAAGCCGTGAATAAACCCTCAATGGCCAAAAGGAGCATTGTTGCTTGAGTGGGAGTGGGGGAGGGAATAGATGGGCCAGTACAGGGGTTATGCGGTGACATATACGCTGTATGTATATGTATGTATATATGTATATATGTATCTGTGTGTATACGCCCATAGATGCAGGGAGTGTATTGGGGTTCTTATAGTGATCCACTCTCCCCATTCCCACTCCCCCTCCAGGACCAGCAGGAAGACCACAGCATCCTTGAAGGTTGCCCCACTAGGCGTCTGATCAAGTTCAATTGTTCGCCTGATAGCTTATTCAGGGGTGTTTTAGCGGATTCCAAACCACAAAGTGAGCATTTATGACTATCATGTGACTCTTATAGGGCCCCTGTTAACGGGTTAGGGGCACCAGAATCCCCTTTTTATACTTAGGTCCAGTGCCTTGTAGCGGTAGAAGCTGCCAGACAGGAAGGAGAGTGAACACCTTAGGTTAGGGACTAACGCAGGGATCCCTTCCTCCATTCCTCAAGCGTGTGTGGAAAAATTTGCGGGCTGAATCAAGGCCAAGCGGTGATTTTCTTGGATGGTGGTGGGGGGGAGTGAATCCCCAAGCCCGAAACCCCGCAGGTCCCCCATGACCCCATGATGTATCCGTATATCCCCTAACATGGCAAACCCTAAACCCAAGGTTAGGGAACCTATAGAAGAAAGGTGCCGCTTTTTGAGCTCCTGGATCGACTGGACAGCCAGGTCAGGGCCTAAGACCTGAACTTCACTGCAGAACAAGTGCTAGGCTCCCAAAAGTACCCTAGAACTCTTATCGCGGGAGGAAGTGTGACCGCACATTGTCATGTGGCGGGCCCCAGCCAGGAGTCCTTGCACGCCCTAACTCAGTCCTGCTAGCCTAAGGTTGTAGAGGTGTGCAAGGTGCTTCTTTCCGAGCTTGCTGTGTTTACGCTTGAATGCATGTAACCTTCAATAACGTAGGCCAAGTATGCTTGAGTGTTCTTTCTGCCCCCCTTACAATCCTGAATAGTATAGGCTAAGTATCATTGCGCCTGCCTACTAGCCTACGGTTGTAGAGGTGTGCAAGGTGTTTCTTTCGGAGCTTGCTGAGCTTACGCTTGCAAATCTGAGTGGCCATAAAGAAATAGATATCATTGGGCATTTGTCTCAGTCTTTCAAGTGTAATGATACATGTTCCAGTACATGTTAAGATGTAGAGTTTGTACAGGCGCGGGAGGTGTTCTTCGGAGCTTGCTGTGCCTAAAATCTTCTATGAGCTTCCCATACCTGAAGTCGTCATGGACGTAATTCCCCCCCACCCCACCCTACCCCACTCCATCCCCCCCTTAACAAAACAGACTGTCAAAACTGTGAAATCCTTAAAAATCCAAAAATGCGTTTTTGGCCAAAATAGGTCAACATGGAAAAAGGTACGAAACCTTGCAAATACCACTGAAGTCGTCCAAGGGCACAAAAACAGAGCTCTCAAAAAGCAAGAGAAAGCATACTTTCAGAAAACGTACCAACGGCCAAATTTACTGCACATACCAGTACTTTAGGCTGCTTCGACCACAAAAATGCACCCCCCCCCTCTCAAAAAAAAAGAAAAATCCCGACTGGCAACTGGAAGAGGAAAAACAAGTAAATAACAGATTATTGTGTAAAAAGGAAATGCTGCAAATAGCAGTGAACGTGTGCATGGCGGCTGTCATACTCANNAGTCGTCAAATACCAAAAGTATGCCAAGTAGTTACACCCTAAAGAAGTCAAGATTTGCGTGCCTTTATATTGGAGCTTATGTCGGGATTCAGGGCAACGAGCATGAAAATGATTTTGAAAGCTACCCCCTGGGTAATTTAGATTGAGCGCCTAAACCATAAATCCTAAACCCTAAACTGAAGTTCCAAGCTAGCGGGCTAGGGCTTTCCTTTTCGGAATTCTGGTGCTTCATACCTCCCATAGAAATAATGGCGAACCCAACCCATGAAATTTCTTTACAAAATCCCCTCTTTAGTTGCTTTTCCTCGTGCAGGAAAGCCGAATGGCATTTCGCCTATACTTAAAAATCAGATGTCAAAAACGTGTTCTTGGCAAACTTGCTATGTTGCAAAATGCTGTGTTTTGCAGTACTTTCTGCTTCACTGCCATGTGCGATTGTGTCTGAATTGCATGCTTTTAAAAAAGCACGTGGAGCCCGAAACACTGCGTGCGACAGTGATTTTGTGTCTTGCCATCATGACTTGCGGAAAAACCCGGAAGATCCCGACTGCGAACTTTGCCCCTTCTTCAAGTTAGCCCCCTTCCGAAGTACTGCGTTTTGCAGTGTTTTCTTACTTCTCCAGTGACGGGACAGCCAGAATAACGGGTCGTCAAATACATAAAGCGCGCGAACTACTTGTAGTTGGGGTTATAACCCAACCTACTTTTTGGTTGGAAGTACCTGAATAAGTCAATTTAGGGGGATTACCGTTCCAGCGGGTTTCCTCTGACAACTCACTTTCATGTAGGGACCGCAAAAAAAGGCGCATGGGCTTATCAAGTATGTGCAGTATTCCCAGATGTTGCTCGTGGGTGATTGTCTGTCTAAAGCTAAATTGGTGAACCCCAAGCCCCCTGTTCTCCAGTCCAGACCTTGCCACTATCATTACCTTGCTGGCTACTGCATCCTTACCCGTGTTTCATAGTATGCACATCAACCCTAGACTTAAACCCTAACCCTAAACACTAAACTTCCCAAAACCATAAGATTTATATCTATGTTGGGCAGGTCTTAGAAGCCCTGCACCTGGTGGTTCCTTGGCTGCCTTTCTAGGTAGGGAAGTGCTGTGGGGACTTGGGAAGTTTGGGATGTGATAAGGCTTAGGGGTTTTGGATTTTTAGGGCTTGGGGCTCTTGGGGTTCAGAGATTTTAGGGTTTAGGGGTTTTTGGGTTTAGGTTTTAGGATTGGCGGATGAGGATTTGAATGGCTTGGTGTGGAGTGGTTCTTTAGGTTCCTTTTTGGACTCCTGTAGAAAGTTGCCCGAGATCTCTGCATGGGTCTAGGGCGTAATCATCTTCGGAGAGCTAGCATGGGCTCAGGTTTGGTTGAAGCAGAGATTGGCATTCGGGGCTGGGAGACTTATCAATTTGTCGTTCAGATCGAAGCTGTAGGACACTCGAGCATTGGGACAGTCTTGGGGGGTAAGCTTTCTAGAGCTCTCCGTGGGCAGCCTCATCCCCGCATTGGAGATCTACCAGGAGAACCGCTGTTGAGAACTAGTTCCCAGACTCAAGTGATCACAGGTGACGCTATTGAAGCCTAGGACTCGCTGACCCATCCTGATACGCCCTTCTTCGTGCATGTGCTGCCTACGCCGAATGTGGAGTCCAACCACGTCAGGGCGTTCTTTGAGCTGCATTGTGTGGCTCAGCCGCAGTGTGTGTAGCAGCGGGAACAGCGGGAAGGGTTACACGGCGGAACTGAGGATCCGCCCATGTTGCGCGTCACAGCCTAGCAATACAGTAAACGTTGAAGGTTGCACTCTGCTCTTGTGCGGAAGTCTGCAATCAGCCTCCCAGCCATCCCGTGTGAGAACTTGGTCAGTCCTCCTTCCAAGAGCAAGCGCATGAGCTGAATGGTGGTGCCGAACTCGCAATTTTGAGACTGTTTTTAGCGATTATTACTAGTACTATTACTATAACTACGGCTATCACTACTCCTAGTACTGTTACGATGATATGCCCACTACAGATTTTGAATTGAGCTGAGGATGCAGACTTCAAGAGCGTTGTTGAGGAGCACCAGGCTTCGGAAGACTTTGCAAATGAGCCATAGCCTAAACTCTTTAAAGAAGGTTATATACGGGATTCTTTATATAGGGGACAGTTACAGGGCTGATGAAGGGGGGCTCAGCTCAAATGATTTTGAAGACGTTTGGAGTATCTCATGATTTTTTTTGGGATCTTGCGTAGGTCATATTGACATACATGGGGATAAAGGAATTAGGCAGAAAGCTTTGGGAAAGCCACCAGTCTTGCAGCCAGGCTTCTGAGTTCGTGGAGAGCTCTTCGTAGTTTTGACGCAGAATCATGAGAAGGCTTGAATATCACATCGACAGGACATTCAGCGACCCCTGACCATCGTGGAGGTCGGGACGCATCTCGGAGGCTCGTTCCGCTAATTTTTGCGTATGCTTTGAGTGTTGACCCAATATCATAGTTGTTGACGATGAGGATCCTGATAATGATGGTGACGATGATGACGATGACGATGATGCCAATGATGGCAATGGTGGTGATGATGATGATAACGATGACGGTGACGATGATGAATGGAAGTGTCTGGTGAATTACGACTGTTTTTAACAGTAATGCTTTTGCAGTTTTTACTGTTGATTACTGCTGATGCTGCTGGCAGCGTGAAGGCCGGGTATTGTGAGGGCACCTTTGTTGTACTTAGTACTTTTTTTGCCTGCCATGGCCTCAATGACAATGAGTTGCTGACCTTCAATAGCTGTTAAAGTCCTGTGCGAGCAGCTGTCATCTCCTTGTGTAACCACGTCAGCTGGCTATGGCATGGGTCATTCTCGCTTACAGTAACAGTTCCTGCAAGGGGTAATAGGAGTTTTATTTGCTCCCTAATAAGACCCCAAGAAGGACAGTTACTGGGAGGGGGAGTAGCCCAAGGGCAATGCTTCATGACGTTTGATCCATGATGCCATGCAACGCAGTGGGTTTATAAACTCAGTCTGCACTGGTATTTAATCTATTAGCCAGACAGTAGCCTGTAGACTGGTAGATGAAGCATACCTGGGGCCTGATTGGGCTAAATAATGAGTCTACGGCTACAGTCAGCTGGAACGATGGGCTTCTTGTTGCGTTACTTGGTTACCTCACCTGCTACAGCTGCAGCAATCACAGCATCCATCACGTGCAGGCTGAGCTCACAGCCCTGCAAAAGCCCCATACGCTACGGGACTCCAAGCGCTCGGCCATAAATCCCAGATCCTGGATGTTAAGCGCGAAGCGCCATAATTCTGAATCCTACACAGTCCTGCAAATTGGCCAGGGTGCGTGTTGTGGGCGATGACCCATCTGCCCCCGCAGCCGCGGCCTCAGCTCGGCAGAGCCTGCAGCAAGCAGGATCAGAATCAGGTAGAAGCAGTAACAGTAGTACTGCACACAGTGGTGGAATCATAAGACTGAGATAATAAGTAATAATGCCAAATCTGGTAGTGGAGTCAAGAAGGTTATGCTTGGAATTGCGATTCTCGGACTAACAATACCACTGCATACGAGAAGGGAACTTTACTCTTGGGCAGCAATGACGCATTGTTGACTGGAACTCCTCTCAAGCGGAGGTAGCTTTTGCAAAGTGCATGTGCATTTCCCAAAGAATCACTTGTCACCCTTTATGCACCTCCAGGTGTTACAATCCTCAACATGCTCCCGAAACAGAATTCAGACCCCCCCAGCATTAAAACGCACGTTATATCTGGCCAAGCATCCTTGGGTTGCAGCCTACACAAGGTAGGAGCTCTAACCTGAACGACGAGAATAGGTTTGCGGAACTCGTGTTACCTAAGCAGTATTAGAGGATTCTGCATTACATGGCCTGAAACATCGTTTGATCATCGATTGCTTTCAGTATTTGGATGCGTCGTGCGGAGCAACTTTTCTCAATAGGCTAATAGGGTGGCCAAAGGAACAAGGGAAACTTCCCTAAGAACGTTTCAAATCAAGAGTCTTCTTTCTTGAGCACCTCTGGATGAAAAGAACCCGTGCATGTGCCAATATCCCTCCTTGCTTTGCAGTGGCTGCTGTAGTTCCCATGACTGCGATCATCCAGATGATCGTGCCAATGACCTACCCAGCGACTAATCTACTAATGCCGCCGTCGTCATTTATCATGGTACTCTGGTTCAGGATCCCTTGAAAGGGGTCTATGGGGTTATATAGGGGGACATTGGTATATGTATATATATATATACACATATACATACTTTTTTATTGAAGAGCGAGCAAGGACGCGCGCCCTGGCTGTCGATGCATACGGCCCGGCGGTGGCAGCGCTGAAGCGCACTGCTGAGGCAAATGGTCTGGCAGACGCCTGGCTTTTGGGCAGTTGATGGTTCGGGGTTCGGTTTTGGGGGATTGAGGCTTTTGCAGTTTAGGGTTGAGGGTGGGATTTAAGAGTCAGGGTTTGGGGTTGAGCGATTTGGGCTACTGAACTGAACGAAGACGATGGCCAAGTGATACCCTACGGTTTCAGTTCGTTTGCTTCCATATTTAAATTCAAGGGCAGGAAGTAAAAGTTACACAGCGCTTTGACTTTGCCATGCGTAAGACTTGGCAGCGCCTTTTTTGCAGCTCCGTTTGCGTTTCATCATCTATATACCTTCGGCATGGGCTTAGTCCAGCTTTTCGTGCCAACATTCTGCCACGGTGTATCTAGCCCGCTGCAAGCCCATTTGCTTCTGTGGCAGTTTCTAAAAAAAGGGAACCCCAATGTAGATCCCAAAATGCGATATTCCTCATTGTTTATTATGGGGACCCCCCCAAACAGTACCCTCACTTTTGGAAACCCCGCTGTCATTGTCCCTACATCGTTGTGGCGGACGTAAGGACAGGCTGACGGTGGTGGAGAGGTTTATCTGCCCTGAGAAACGTCTCTTCGAGAGCACTGGCTTCCCTGTCTTCTGGGTTGCTGTTAAGGAACCTATATTAAGTTACAATAGTTACAATTACAAGGAAACCCCATATTAGCCGTATTATGGCAACTGAATTTAAGTTCTTTAATAGCAGGTGGTATATAGCCGAAAAGAGGAGTTTTTTTGTGTTATTGGGTGTATCTCAGGTCTACAGGATTGTTGAAGATGAGTACTCCGATTTTCCACTTGTCCGTCCACCTTCATTGAAGAATCACAAGGTGCATGGCAGCTTCCCAGGATACATTCTCCATGATTCGCATGGGGGACGATTGTCCATGTACGACCTCAGCGTCTGCGGGGACCTGCCTTCTGAGAAACCTTCATGTGCGTAGCTTTGCAGCTCAGGAAAATTCCAGGTGGCTCTTGCGCAGACTGGAACGTCTCTGGTGCAGCCTTCATGGGCGGAGGCCTGGGAGCAGTGCTAAGCCATTTTGATCTGATGCTGAAGGGGACAGACGTCGCAGGAGATGGTAATTACTTCTTCATGATGATCATCGCGTGTAGCACCATCTCCTTGCTAGTATTCGGGCAACTCTCTTCACTTTCATCGACGACCTTATTGTACTTAGCAATCAGCACTTGCCTACGTTATCATTGTTGGAAGTGCCATCAAAAGAATCAATACAATGCTGCTTGACATGATGTCCTTGTCATGACTATCCGTACAATCCTTGCTGTCACTATGCGGCTCTTGAATCTTCATTCAGATCCTGTCAAGTGCCTCATTGTGAACCTGCCCGAGGCAACAGAAGATTCCGAGTCGCAGACAGTCGTGGCTTGGTACAGATGTTAGGAAATAGTTTTTTTACGGCTGGAAAATCTGTTTGCTGCCCTCAGGTCATCCCCATGTAATCATCGCATGACCTTGCTATCCCATGCTTCTCGTCAGCTGGTCCATATGGCCTTCATGACGCTGATCTACAACGGATCGTACCCTTCTGTGACAGATCGTCATTCATAGAATACGGCCCGGAGTTGCCTGTGACAGGTGTGCGTGCTGTTACGCTTTTAACTTGTGCATGAATTGCTGAGTCTGTGGTTGTCATAATCAAATGGTTACTGCTAAAGGTTTCTTGCATTTTTGAGGTTGTCTGATCATTACGCTAAAAGGAGTGCACGAGCTTGGAGAACGTGTTCGAGGAGCACTCCATCACACAGGCCAGCAGTGGCAAACCTCATAGACTGCGGCAGGGATTCCCCAAGAGAAAAATGTCCAGTTCAAGGAAAGGGTCGCCCCCCTTATGCCTCTCGCTGTTCATGAGAACTGCCAACGTCCGCTGCTACTACAGCGCTGAAGGGGAATCAGGTTTCACCATCACGGCCGCCGCCACCAGCACGTTCTGCGACGACAATAATGTCCACACTTATGAGGGGATAGCAACGACCAAGAGTTTCAATATTAATGATTCTCTGAATCCACCAATTAGGTATGATCCCAGGCTCAGGAGTAGTGCTGGAAGATGCGCATCTCTACGTACAGCCTGACGAAAAATCAAGTTTCTTTAGTCAAGGGTCAAAGCCAATCTCAATCAAGTTGGATTTCCCCAATTCCTTTATGTAAGATCATAGGCGTTGAGCTACGCCCCGCAGCCGAATCACAACGTGATGCTAACAGGTGGACCTGATGCGCATCCATGTGCTGGGCCGCGAGTATGACGCGCTGCGTTCGGGCGAAAGCTTCTTCAAGACGGGGAAGGCTTGGAAGCGTTTGGGTAGTTGCTCATTTTTGTGTGTACGGATCAGGGGTGCAGGGTTCAGGGTTTGGGGTGGTGGTCTCTTGATGTAGGTTTGTTCGGTTCTAAATAGCCATATGGTTGCAAGAGCTCTGGTTCGATCGGGTACCAGCCATTCAATCAGATACGGAGGCAGCGCCAATGGGAGTCATATTAATATGGATCATATGTCTTTCAAAGTGAGATAGTTCTTTTGTTTGCTCGTATTCTACTATTTGCCTGGGTTAATTGATGAACGATTTGATGAGTTCCGTGGCAAACGCCGAAAAATCTGCGCAGGTTCCAGTTAAACCCTGATCCATAAAACCAAGTCCCGGACCCGAAGCCGGTAAAACTTGAATCCTGAACCCTAAACCCGGAAGCCCGAAACCCAAACCCTGAATCCTATACACTAAACCCTGAACCCTAGACTCCTGCCGTGGGGAACAGGTGCTGCAAAATAAAAGTCCTAAACTTCAAACTCTCTAAGCCCAGTACCCATTGCCCCACGTACAGGTGAAAGTCCTGGCAGCCTCTGTCACACAGAAGAACATCGGCCCTGGGGCCATGGCTACTAAACTAAACCTAAAAAGGATCGGTTTGGGGTTTAGGGATTAAGGTGCCAGGTACTTGGCTGCATGTAGGTGTAGGGGTTGTCCACGGCATTTTGCTCGTCAGAGACCGGGATTCTGCCGATTGCTTGTCCAGTAGATTTGGTCCAGTAGATTCGGCAAAGATTGGGGTCTCGGCTCGTCATTGGTCTGTTAGGGTTTTAGAATTGTCTGCTTGAAGAACCAAATCCGTCACTACCAGCAGTGCCCCAAGCTGAACCCATCAGGCCCCAAGCACAGATAATGTGCCTAAGCTAGATGGCAAGAAAGATTTCTACTTCCACTTTTTGTCTCATAATATGGGTTCATAGATCATTTTGGGGGCCTTTAGAGTACCACCACTTACCCCTAACCCCATAACTCCGTAGGGGTTGTTTCTTCACTGAGGCAAAGATGCTTCTAGGCCCTCCGACTGCCAGGATTCGGTCAAGAGAGTTCAGGGATGGGACTCTGGGGGATAATATTGGGTCCGTTTGGAGGGGGTTTGGGATGTAGAGGGATGTGGAGGGAATTATACATGTAGGGTTTGGGTTTAGGAGCTTAAACAGGTAGGATTGAAATTGACAATTAAGGTAATGGAAGCTGTGCGTTGACACGCTGATGGTTTTGTAGGGGCCATTTGATTAGAAAGGGGCTCGGGGGTATGTAGAGGACAACATCTCCCCGGTTATGGAGAGCAGCATGATATATACATATACACATAATGGGGGTTTCTGATTATCCCCCCCCCTCCCAACAAAAAATACGGATCTGAATAATCCGGGGGGGGGGGCCCAATCAAGTTCGGGAAAACTTGTTTGGGGGGCCCGAGCCAATCCCGAACCTTGAGGCTCTAGATGAAATTTAAAGCCCGAACCTAACGCGCTGAACCTTTAACCCCGACCCCCAAACCTGGCAACGAAACCCTAGGCCCAAACCTTAATTAATCCTTTAACCTTAAACCTATGCTCTAAACCCTGGACCCTAAGCCCTAGACATTTTCAGAAGCTAGCATACATTATTCCGTTCCCATGTTGTTATTCATCCGTTCAGCCCGGATCGCTAATCCGTACCCATTTATATTATTCCGTTCCGGCCCAATATAGCTCTAATCCGGCCCCCTTTACTAATCCGAAGTCAACATTAGTCGGCTATGTAATATTCAGGCCGTGCAGGGGGCCTTTATTACCAGCGGATAAGCGATTAGCTTCCAAAAAATAGCATCCTTCTGCACCGTATGCTCCCTGTAATGGAGACCTGCAAAAAGGGGCCACGATTGTCGGAAACTTCCAGAAAGCCTCGGGAGACGAAACAGACAGGGATAGGAGTATTTGAGGTTGCATGGTATAGGCATGAAGAATGGGTATACCCAATAACGACCTCCAAATACTATAATCCTTATTATGGGGACCCCCAAGTAAGGCAATTACCCCTAATTTTGGGAAACCCCCATATAGCATAATGCAGCCCACAACACAAGACTTGTTGATCAATTGGGCCCCTGATATAGTCGATGGCGCAAGCGATCAGTTCAGATCCTGTCTCCATAGTCAGGATGTTGCCAATTTTTCTTTTTGAGTTTTCGACCGCCTGCGGGGGTAATCAGTTCATTCAAGGTACACTACCTAGTGTTTGAATACATTTTGCTGGAAGGCGAGCATGGAGGACCCAGTGTGGAACAGATAACTGCCAAGTCCATGAGTCCAAGCTGTTCGAGGAAGGTTTGGCTTGCACTGGTAGCAACAATAATAGGACCAGTGGTAGAGTAATGGTACTGATGGTATTAGATAGTCTTGTTTCCCGCGCACCAGCGACGAAGTGAAGGCGCATGTAAACCAGCCCCGGATTTTAGCACCATGGTTGGCTGGCAATGGAGGAATTCATATCTTGTAGGTGTGGGTTTGGTTGCTCATATCCATTTCTGGCTCCCTACTACTGATCAACAGCCAGTCTCAGGCCCCCATCCTCGAAGCAAACGCTAGCAACTTGAGAATCTACGGCAATCGAAGCTTCTTAATTGCAGAGAACATGGGTAGTATGAAGGTTATATTGGGGTCATATGGGGATAATGGAAAAGAACATGGATACTACTATAATAGGTTATATAGGGTATAGAATTCCCCCCCAAATCCCTAAACCCTGAACCCTTGGGGTCCCCATGCTGCAGGCTGGGAGGGTTCTTTTGTTTTTGAATATCCGGGACCTGGACATTGGACACCTCGACTCAATGCTCATCATTCTAATTGATGAGCTTTAGCTGGGTACCCTTTGTACTAATTACTGGGATTAAGAACGTAGTAAACTGGGGACAGAAAAGGGACCATGATTTAGAACTTCAACCCTAAGCTCAATACTAAACCCTAAACCCTAACCCTAAACCCTAAACCCTAAACCCTAAACCCTAAAATACCCTGAGCCAACCATCAACACTCACATGACGTCTTGGAGCAAGGTCACGGCTATGCCCTCGAGTTCCTTCAGTTCCGGGACCAGGATCCCAGAGCTTCAGATGTGCGATCTTTGCTGGGTTGCTGTTAAGGAACTTAAATTAAGGGATTATCCCCCTATAATGGAGAATCAAATGGAAAAGAAAATGGAAAATTAAATGGAAATTGGGGGAATATAGGGATGTAAGGAACTTAAATGAAGTTACTATATTGGGGGAACCCTATTATTTACTATATATACCCATTATGGTACCTTAATTTAAGTTCCTTAACAGCAACCCAGTTTGGGCTTGGAAGGTCAAAGCCAAGGTTATAGCCGTGTTGTCAGGGTCTCGCATGATTACTACTATTATTCATGACATTATGGCATGAGACGGATGCTAAATGTAGATCTGGCAGACGGCCCATAGGGATACAGCCCGAGCGGCAGTATGAGTGGGTAGCATTGATAGACGTACTGGATCAAGAAGCATAGCACTTACGGTCAAGCGACGTACTAACAGTGCTGTCAAGGTCGAGAGAGATTAATGACTGCCGTGGGAGGGGACATCAACAATCCTCCTTAACCGTACGCTTTGTGTCAGTATGACTTGCAGAGTGTTACCTTGGTCTGGATTTGCACATTCGACTTTGTCAAAGGTAGCCATCTAACAACTCTGATCCTTCTGTGAAGGCCCGCGCGGTGGGCCTGCTGTTTGGTGGCATACCTGCCTAGACAGGTATCCTTCGATTTCTTGGGTCCCGGATTCCCTAAGCCACAGGGTTAAGATTTAGGGCGGTTTAGGGTTTAGGTCGTCCAAAGAGAGAACCGTAGCGGTTGTTGTAGCTACTTGTGCGTGTAGTCATAGAAAACAACAGCCTTGCCAGGATGTGGTGACCATCTTGAATGAGCAGCAGATCCTGCCCAAAAGTGCCATGACAGCAATGGCTGGGCGCTGAACGGGCCACAGCAGAACCTGCGACAAATTAAGGTCGCCCTGGGGATCCGCAAACTTAACATGAAGTTGACGGCGTCACCGCAAGAATCTCTTGTGTGGATTCTAGTGCTGAGCTAGATCTGGTCTTCTTTCCATCGTTGACGTATTCTTTGGCGCCAGCAACTGGGAATCTTGTGATGTCTCAAGAAATGTGGTCTTTTTAGGAAAGACGCTAGAACCCGGCGACGGCCTCAAGCCCAAACCCTTTTTCGTGTAATCTCCATATCATCCAACCTGTATAACTCCCATGCAACTGTATCTAGTCTTCATGATTCCTCGGCAGGTACACATACCATGATTGCCAGATATCCGCGGTGACGTGCCAAAGTTGCGCGACGAAAAAACGCACCTCCCAGCCGCTTGTACGACAGCTTGTTTTGTTCTGTTTTTCGCCATGTTGTTGTCATTATTATTGTCATTTCACGTATTACTATGTGAAGAAGATTGGATTTTGATTTCAAGGTTCAGTTAAAATCGATTTGAAATCATGTTTTCAGCCATTTCGGATTCAGATATCTGGTCACTTAAAATCGATTCTAAGATTATCTTGGGGAAAGCCCCACAAATGATTTAAGATCAAACTTAACTCATTATTTCCTCATTCCTCAAGCTTCCTGAGACCTGAAATCGAGGCAAGTGTTTTCCCTGTTAATGAGGTGCGTCTTAAAGCCGATTTTAAGCCCATATTCCATGCCAAAATGCTTGCAATCAATTTCAAGTTTTCCTCGTGCAAGGGCTTGTTCAGCAGGTCTTAGAACCAGATCTAAGCTTGTACTCTTGTAGTCCATGGTAAATATTTTTACGATCGATTTCAGGTTCTTCTTATACAACAGCTTGTCCAGCAGGTCTTAGAACCAAATTTAAGCCTATATTGGGTGCCAGGGATCAACTTGAGAAACAGCCGTATCCTGACAGCATGGCAGCTACAAAGCTACAAGAAGGAGTGACATGCTTCTCCATGAAATGCCCTTCCCCTAATATGAATCATGACCCCCCTCACTGACCATCTAATGATACATATTCCTCCTAATATGTGATTGGGATATTTATTATTAACCCTGAACCCTAAGCCCTAGATGGTACCAGTCTTGGGATATCCATTATTAGGGGGCTTACTAGCAAGATGGGGAGTGCTGAAGCAACTTTGCCTGGTTAATTTCCTTAGGAGAAACCACTGCTTTCTGGGGCTTTTGAGTGGCATTTAAACAGGGTAAGGTAGAAGCGTTGAGAATTACCAATATTGTTCCTGAAGCATCATTTTAGTTTTTTGTATAATGGACCCATAGACCCTACTCAAATTGTATACTGTAGGCACCTACATATCCTTCTGATGCTTATGAAGCTACAGTATAATATGCCGACAGGTCCAAGTGCTACTTTTACTATCTCTGCCCCTCGAGTAGAGGGGAACTCAACACCGGCCTTTCGCTGTTCAGGAACTTGAATCAAGTTACGATAGCCTGGAAGCCCTATTATCTACTACATACCCACATGAAGGTAACTTAGTTTAAGTTCCTTAACGGCAACCCAGTAACGCTTTGCGCGCACCGGACTCCGGGCTCTGAGCAAGGGGTGCAGCTTCAAGGAAGGTCGTGCGACCATGTGGAACCCTTTAGGTGAGTCGTAGTGAGCACATGTTCAAAAGCAAGACCGAAGCTTAGCCGCTACGGGGCTTCCTTCTGAGGGTCAGCAGGAGTTCGGTTGCGATTGTGCATTGGCCCCCTTTGGCTACTACTTCTCAAGAAACAAAGTGGGTGTGCTGATGTAGAGAGGGTATTTCAGAATCATCCCTGCGCCCCTACATGTTGCCCGATTTGTGCGGCCTTCTTCCATCGCTTTGGGGAGCAATGAAGAGCATGGGCTGTTCTGTTTACCATCACTACTGCTAATGTTATACATAGGCTGATAGCCCGGACTGGACAAACAGGCACGCAGCCAATGTGCCGCCAATCAGAAGCTCAGGTGCCACATTCCTTGTATCATGTATTTTCTAGGGCACCTTACTAGTCTTAAAAAAGTGTGTTGCTAAATATTTAGGCCCTTAGGCTTCTGCAGTAGTTTTTGCTTGGCTTGGGCATGCAACGTTTGCTGATATGCCTGCTGCTGTTGCACGCGCCGGGCGCCCAAGACCTGCGAGCGTTTTCCCGAAACCCTCAATGCTAAAACCAAAGCCTGAAAGCCCAATAGCTAAACCGTCAACCTAAATGCTGAATCCTAAAGCCTTACCCCCAGTTGGGTCCTTGTCAACAAAAATCTTGGTGACTGCAAGGGCAAGACTTGAAAGCATCGTTATGGCTTCCTTCAGGCAGATCCCCACGGAGCCCCAAGATTGGGCACGTTGGGTTCCATTACAATCTCAGTTGAATGAGTCTTTGTTAGGGGCTCCGACGGGCCGTA